TGGTTGCACCAAATTGTATTTTTATTGATGGTTAAACAAAAGTTAACCAAGAACTTGGATTTCTGTGCTTTTGTTTCACATTTTCCTCCCACCCACCCATACTTTGATTTTGTCTTTTAAAAGAGTCTGTCATTGTTACACAACAAATTTCAATTTCTGTTTTGTTCATTTGTGATTTTTTTTTAATAGAATTTTGTTCTAGTGCATAGACACCCATTGGCTTGGCTTTATTCTTCCTGACAGTCCAGTCCCTGGTAAAGCCGCATGATGCTTACATGTGATTGTACCCAGAACAGTGGGGTGGGACACTGCCATCCGTTAACTACTCCCGTCAGCTGGCGTCTTATTTTGTTCTTGAATGCCAAAAAATTGAGTACAACTCATTGCAACCCTCTGACCACCAAATCCTGACCTTTCTCTATCCTGTGCCATCTCTTACTGCCTCGGACACACTTGAGGCCGTTGCTACAGTGTGTCAGTCACTTTGTCCTCCTACTGAGCTGACCAGTGAGTTTTCAAAGGCTGTCCATCAGTCCGGGGGGACTGACTGCTTGTCTGTCTCCTACACAGCACCTGGGGGATCCCGGCCACCTGGCTTGGGGCTGGTGGTGCAAAACTCCTGACCCACTGGGCCACGCAAGGTCCCCGACCATGACCTGGGCATACGTGAGGAAGCACACTGGACCCCTCATCCTTGTGATTTGTAGAGGACACAAGCCGCAAATCGTGTTGATGCGGAATCCCACCAGGCCACGTGCTAGCGTGCGAACCCAAGCTTGAGTCTCTTGTTACACCCTGATGTCCATGCAACTGCTTGAGGGTCTTCCTTTCTCACTCTGACCCTTCCACCACCTTTCCAAGTATGATGTCCTTCTCCAGAGACAGGTCCATCCAGACCTCGTTAAAGGAGTTCACACTCTTGTTGTCAGGTGCCGGTGAGTCAACCACGACTCATGCCGACTCTTGTGTGTCTAAACACGATTTCTGGTTGGACTTTTTCCGATGACTTGAGAACTGTCTCCTGCCTTTCCATCCTACAAAGCCAGACGTCAGCCCATGAAGGGTTCTACAGCTTTCCTGCAACTTCAGCCTCAGTTTGACCGCCCTCCTAGCAAAGTGTTTCCTCCCCTGTTCTTTGTTAACGACATCATCCTTCAAGTTGACAAGGACACATAACGACCTTGTGAACCACAGATCAGAGCCCTGTGCTGCCCTCGCCGTCTCTGATGACACTCCAGCCATGGCTGCAGTCACCTTGACCATCCGTCTGCTGGAAGGTTTCCTCTCTGTCTCTGACCCTTCCTCAGCAGGATGTCCTCGTTCAAGGACTGGTCCCTCTAGACCACATGCCCCAAAGGATGTGAGACCAAAGTATCCCCCTCCGGGCCTCCTAGGGTGACCCTGCTTGCACTTTCTCCAAGACATCCGTGTACTCCCTTGAAACGTACCACACTTGATTGGTACCTGAAATACTAATTTCATCGTCTAAATCACAAACTACATAGTGAGAAATGACAGGTGAGTGGTGGATCAAATAAGCTAGGGAGTTAGTGGTGGTTGTGGGCCAGAGTCAGAACGGACCGAGGACGGACCTTCTGGTGGGTTTTTAGAAGCAGAAAAATCACACAAAGGGAGATTACCCATCCTTCTCCCACAGAGCACCTGGTAGATTTGAACAACGTGCTTTTTGGGATTACAGCACAGCTTAACACTGGGCCACCAGCACTGCCCTGGAATTGGTGATACCATCCGTCCATTGCTACAAGAACATGCCAATAAAGTCTATAAATGATACCTGATAGGACTCATCTGTCCTGCCAGGTTCAAACAGAGCCTGTTTAGGATGGGAATCTGTCCACGAGCAAGAAGACAGAAGCCAGTGGCCTTTTTCAGGAGCAGAGACTCCTGTGCCAGGCTGACACGGATCTACGTGAGAGTGGCACCAACCGTGGAGAACTGGAGACTCACCGGGGCCAGGGCAGACTTGGGAATGCCGTCCCACAAAGCCAGAGTCAAACACCTCTGGACACGCTTACTGGAGGAGGGAATATCAGCAAGAAAAAAAGAGCCTTGCAGAGCGGACCCAAAGCCATAAAGCCAAAAAGAACAGAGCATTTGACGGCACGCCTGAGACTCTATCTTCATGGAGGAATTGCATCTTGCTTTTCACCGGCACTGAAGCTTGTTCAAAATTCCCAAATCATTCCCAGTACCTTGAGCAAAGTTCTGTGAGCTGTCAAAATACGTCCAATACTCGTTTATCTTACAGAACACAGGGATTTAACCCCACCGGGCTTTTGAAGACAGTCCTGCTTATGGAAGTACATTGTCATATCTTACACCGCAGGCGTCTTGTGTCCAAGAGTATTTTAACAGGCACATCTTTGCCTACTGTGTGGCCAAGTTCCTTTGATGGTGCTGTGATGCTGCCCCCTGTACCATAGTCCTATCAAATACCGTAATGGCGACCTATTATGTACAATGGTAGGCTTAGCTTCTATATTGGTTTATGCCGGGAAGCTGGAGTGACATCCATCTCCTAAACTGGATGCCTCTGGAAACTCTACAAACTCTCAAAAGCTCTACAAACTCTCCAAAAACTCTATAATCTCTCAAAGCTACAAACTCTCTAAACTCTTTAAAGGAACACAAATGAAGGTAGTTCTGGAACAGAGTGCTGTACAGAAATGATGTGAATCATATGACAGAGTTCTGTACGGAAATTATGTGAGATCTACAACAGAGATCAGGTCTTTTGTCCAAAGCTTAGTCCCTGTCGTAGTCGACGGTTAAGCCCTGCAAAATGAAACTAGTGCTGTGATATCTGGAGGAACACTCTTCCACCTTGTACATCGCTCTTTGTCAATGTGGACGATCAAGTGATCTGGGTTTGCTGTGATGAAGTTTGTATCGAATATCAGAATATCAGATCTCATTGGTTTCCCAAATGTGGACAGTGTTTGCTCCCAGAAGCAGGAGTGGCATCCACTTCCTAAACCACATGCCTCTGGAACGCTGGTGAACTTGGAGAAATGACGATACTTATGGAAAGGCATTGGGTCTTTTGTTCGAGTCACGATGAGTCGTGCTTGACGGCAATCGACACAAGCCACGTTTCCAGAAGCAGCACGCATGCACATACACACTTGTACACAGCGTTTGTACAGAGCTTTGCAAATACCGTCCTTAACAGGCTCGAGAAGGTCAGAGAGGACAGGGATGACGATGGAACACGAGAGGTCAAGGTTCAGATGTGTCGTCCAAAGCATTGCCATGAGCCACAGTGGACTTGAGTGTACCTCCCAACAATTAGAGGCCACGATTTTTCAGAGAAACATCTCAGTCTGGTGCTTGGGCAAGAAAAAGAAATTATACGTGACCACTGGCAGAAATTAACGTACACGTTTTAATGAGGACCCGTCAGAAAATACAGAAACTTATTCAAGTTGTAGGGAGGTCTTATTAAACTCTGATGCAGTTCGACTAAAATTTATAAAATAAAAGGGATGAAAAAGGAACACGGCTAAAAAGACACAGGCAGTTCTTGGGTTACAAACGTCCAACTGAAATACAAACTTTATACATAAAACGACATCCGCAAAGGGTCTTACAAATCAAGATCCCTCTTCTATGGGCTTCTCGGCGTATAAAGACTCATTATCACAGAATAGAAACCCAGTTCTAGCCGACCCCTCGCCAAGTTTCCAAGGCTGTAAATCATACAGGAGGAGAAGGCTCATCTCGCGGGTGCGTGGAGAAGCGGATCTGAACCTCTGGGGAGGCTCCAAGTTTCGGTCACCGGAATAGGCCACCAGAGGACTCCGATTACAGTACAGGAAAGAAAACATGATGCTGGGAAGGGTGGAGGGACATGGCAGGAGAGGAAGACCCGGGATGAGATGGATTGATACGGTAAATGAGATAATAGGGGTAAGAGTGTTGGAAGTCAGTGAGACTGGCTCAAGATACATCAGAGTTCAGAGCTACTGGACATCTGGCCACAGGCAACTTGATGGAACCTAGCAACCATTACCACCACCACCCCGACCCTGTATTCTCTATGTTGCAAGCTTCACGAGACTAGAGCTGGTTTGGATTGCTTTATTTAGTCCCAGGCCTTTGCAGGACCTGAGAAGCGCCCTGAGTTCTAGATATCACAACTCATAGGAATAAAGCCAAGCTGGTCAAAGAACAGGCAAAAGGCCTTAGGAGTGACAATGTGGGCTGTGCCTCCCACCAGCCGTCCAGAGCCAAAGATGCTCGGACAGAGAAGGGGCCGGCTCTGTGGATGGGCAGTTGATGAGGACAGAAATGACGGCCATCAATCAGGAGTGGTCTCTCAGTGCCTCACACAGCAGAGAGGCTGCACCCAGAGTTTAAAGGGATGAGTGTCCCCACCACAGCCTCAGGGTCTGGCCTTATCTCTCACTACGGCTCAAGGGGGACGCTGTCCAGTGCTCTGGGGAGTCCCTGAGGGGTGGAAGGGACAATCATTCCAGGCCGCACAGGACCAAGGCATCGCCCACTGGCCCCAGAGCAAAGCTTCCCTCTAAAGGCTGCACCTGACTCTTCATGGGGTTTCTGGAAAGACATTCACCACGTGGCCCTCATTCCTGTGCTTTCGTGGTTCTTATAAAATACAAAAAACATAAAAAAAAAAATAGAATTGAGGGAGTCTGGAGGCTACACCATATGGGTGGAGATGGGCAGAAAAAAAAGGATGTTTTAACAAGGATCTCAAACAACCCGAGAAAGGAGTGTACCAGCTACCGTGTGAAGTACTAGTAGTAGTATTATCATTTTATTATTACGTAAAAGGCATTTATTTTTACCACAAGTGTTTCTTTCTTGTTTTGTTTTTAACTTGAAAAATGTTCTAGCCTGCGACACAGAGGAACTCTTCTTCCCAAAGATCTGGACCTTCTTTTCCTGTCGTTTTTTTCTTAAATGCATAGAAAGTTACACTAAATACTACAGACAAAGACAGACATTTCACGCACTGGCGTTAGCTAACCACTCCAGCTGACAGACAAGCCGACGGAGACGGAGACTTGGGAACAGCTCGCCTGTCATCAATCTTGGGGGCTCACCACACACAGACTATTTCATAAATAAATAAGGGGCGGGGAGACACAGGGACGCCATGCCTCGTCCAGTTTCAACAAATGTACACAGAAGAAAGAAATTCAATTAACGTCTCTCCACCTTTCATGTTCTGAGAAACTGAGGCCTAGCCCTGAAGGTGAGGTTCATAGAATGAAAATATTCTTTGGAAAACACTGCAGTAAGAGTTAAACCCAGGTAACAGAGACGGATCAACCTAGGATGGACTCCTCATAAAGGGAGTTTAAAGTTACACTCAGAACCAAAATACGCGTACGAAATACGAAACCAAAGGTAAGAGCGTCTCATCGCATGGGAACGGAATAACAGTTAACATCAAAAACAATAGAGAAACAACAATCACTTCTAGGTGATCTCTTTGAGGATTATTTGTAACAGCGAAAGATTTCCAGAAAGGTTTATATTTAAATGGCATTGAAAAGTCAACAGGCAGGACGGCCCCAGAGTTCCACGAAGTGGCCTTTGTCTCCTGAAATGTATTAAATTCCCCCCCTGAAACACAACATAGCTTGGAAGACTGTCTGATGGAGCTGGAATTGCCATCTTAACTCACCGACAAACTTTTAATGTTTTCCCTGCAGTCCTCGGGGAAGACCTTCTGCAGCACATGATGCCAGCAAAGACCAGCTATTCCACTCCCGACACCAAGGCGTCTCGTCATTCTTGAGTTCTCATGAGAGAGTTGAGGAATGCCTCCCACCTTTCCCATCTTCCTTGCAGTCCCAGGACCTCTGCACCGTGAATCCCACCAGTGGCATCGTGGGCGGGTGGCTGGGTGCCTTGTCCACGTTCCTTATCCTAAGGGCCTCTGTGCCGTGACAGGTGCATGTGTGCATCTCAGGGAGCTGAGACGTGACCACCCAACCACGTGCACTCTGTGTGTGGTGCTCGCTTGCTTTCTCTCTGTTTCTAATCCTTCCATTTCGTGAGATCTTCAAGAACACTTGGACGCTCTCCCCTGCAGCTGGGGTCTCAGATTTCTCTGCGCTACAAGTTCATCTCTGTTCAGAGAGAGGCCACCTGACGGTAGACGACCGGTTTTCTCCCCCTCCTGACGTTCACACCCTCTCCGTCCAAGCTGGGGTGCATTATATACATGACGCGAGGTCTGGGCAGGGCGAGAGGCGAGCATCCCTTCCAGGACCGGTTTCCACGCGTCCCAGGCAGGCCTCTGTGTCCGTGTTAACTGCGCCCGTACGCGGCGAGCGCGACGGGGTCCCCGAGGGCCTTGGCGCACTGCTGGCAGCCGTGGGTCCGGTCCGCGGCGTGCGTCTTGCGGTGCCGCGACAGGTGCGAGGAGCAGCGGAAGGCCTTGCCGCACTCGTGGCACGTGTAGGGCCGGGCGCCGCTGTGCGTGCGGCGGTGCTGGGTGAGCGTGGAGGTCTGGCTGAAGGCCTTGCCGCACTCGGTGCACTCGTAGGGCCTCTGTCCGCTGTGCGTCTTCAGGTGGGTCATGAGGTGCGAGGAGCAGCGGAAGGCCTTGCCGCACTCCTTGCAGGCGTAGGGCCTCTCCCCGCTGTGGATGCGACGGTGGATGGTGAGGTTGGAGGACTGTGTGAAGGCCTTGCCGCACTCGGTGCACTTGTACGGCTTCTCTCGGCCCACGTGGAAGGTCTTGCGAAGCATGAGGACGGGAGGTGGACAGGGGAAGGCTGCGGCGTGCTCTGGACAGCGGTCGCTCCGATCGGGCCCGGGAGGGAAAAATGGTGGGAACCTGCAGAACTCCTTGCAGCAGGCGAGCCACTGAAAGCACGCATCGCCCCCGACGGTCCTCACGGGACCCCGGAGGGCTGCCCAACAGGACAAATCTTTGCCGCAAACCTTGCACGTCTGGGCCGGCTTTCCGTGCGACGTTCTGACAGGGACAGACAGCTGAGGGGCACGGCCGCCAGGCTCACCGACATCCCTGTGCTGCCTAGGCTGGCACCCCAAACACGGGGCCTGATGGTTCGATGATGGGGGATCCACGTAGCCTTTTGCACACCCGTACCACGCCGAGAGATGTGCTTGCACGGGCCCGCTTCGAAGCACGGGAACGTCTGAAATCTGGTTGAAGGTGTTTGCCGGCTGGCTGCCGTCACGCAGGAACTCAACTGCAGGAGCCCTGTGGAAAAAGGAGCGACAGAGAGTCGGAGAAGAAACCTGTTCCTGTCTTGGCACTCCCAAACACAGCCAGTGGGCTTGGGGTTTTGCCTTGCGCTGTGTCTCGTGTTGTCACTGTTTTAAGTCGTGGATCAGAAACACAACCAACCGATGCTTAAGTCGTTTTGTAAAAGATGAGAGGGGGAGGCGACAGTGTCTAAAACGAGGTTGTCAAAATGCTTGGCATTTCACTCACAGGGAGGCAAACATTCTACTGGGGTCATTCTCTGGACTCATCCTTTTACAGCTACGTGACTATAGGGTCTCAAACTCAAATCTCAAGCCCGTGAAGAGCTGCAAGGGACTCAGGGGCTGACCATCCACCGTTGTGTCTGTGTGGCTGCAAATCGCACGGGAATAGGAGAAAATCAGTGGAAACAAGGGTGGATTTGAACGCTGCCCCCAATGTAGGCACTCAACTGCGTGCAGCCAAAGGGAACCACCAGAAACACCGGATTTACACCCACAAACGTTGTTTAATGGTTGTTTGCAGCTCTAGTGGTGTGGTTCGTACACGGCTGTGCCGTGAACCCCCAGGGACAGCGTCTGCTCTGGGCATTCTGAATCCAGCACTGGGTTGGAGGAAGAAACACAGACAGCATCCTCTCTGAGCGATGGGCACCAATGAAGAGATATGATTCACCAAGTAGTGAAGAGCTATGATTCACCAAGTACGCTGCCTTGTTTGGATAATGGCCATTTCTGAACCTCTAGAAATTGGTGCAAAAGACTAGCATATCAACAAACACATATGAGCATATATTTTAATTTCTAAACACCTTAGGCCTTTCGTTTGTTTGTTTATTTGGGTTGTGGTTTACTATGACACTCACCTCAGATGATCGCCCCGATTCTTATGCCGACCTTGACCGCCGTGAACTCTGGAGATTTCTCCCAACCCGGAGGACCAGAAGTGGGTCTTCATGAACTGCGTGGTCCCGTAATCACGGGGTAACTTCTCACGGTCGATAATACTCTGGTACACTGGCCCAGCAATTGAAGTCGAGGTTCATAAACATGAAACGTAACAAGAAAGAGGATTCTTAGGGGAGAAGGTGGCGAAGAACATAGACAGATGCATTTTGTTCTTGGCGAGCTCTGGTGAGAGTTAAGAAACTATGGGGATGCTCCAACCCCTGTGGAAGGCAGGATGGCGCTTTCTCAAAAAGTTGCAAATGGAGATACCATTTGACCCAGCAATTCCACTCTTGGGAATATACCCCAAAGAGACCATGTCTGCCATCCAAGCAGATATATGCACACCCTTGTTTATTACAACTTTGTTCACAATAGCAAAGAGCTGGAAACAACCCAAGTGCCCATCAACAAACGAATGGCTAGAGAAGCTGTGGTCTATTCGCACAATGGACTACTACGCTGCACTGAAAAACAAGGAACTCATGCAATATTATACAAAATGGGTGACCCTAGAGGACATGATGCTGAGTGAAATATCTCAATCGTACAAGGACAAATATTGCACAGGGCCACTGTTGTAAAATGGGACTGACCTCGGGGTTAAGGGAAGACCGAGAAGGAGGGGAGGAATGATGTACACTACTACTGAAACAGATGAGAGAGAGAACTGTAAAAGAGATATATGATTAGGTATTACTGAGTCCAGAATGAAGGCTAGTGCATAGTGGAGTGGACTTGAGGGGAGGGATTGTATAGCAATGAAATAATTTTACTTTTCAAAGAGAAGAGTGAACTTGGGGGTGGAGGATGGGTAGGGAGAAGAGTGCAACAATGAATGAATGGAAATCCAGTCTCTGTAAACGTTCATTAAAATTAATAAAAAAAATAAACTATGAGGAAACTCCCAGACGAGATTTTAGAATGATAAAGGCATAACCAGGTTTTATCAGAAGTCGTCCACTTCCTAAACAACTTGCCTCCAGAAACTCTATGAAGTTTGATAAATGTTGACGGTTATAGAGGCCTTTTGTTGACAGGGTTGCTATGAGTCGTGGTTGACTTGAAGAAAATCAACAACCACAACCTATGTAACTAGATGGTTGACTCATTATATGGTTAACATATAAAATAGGGGAGGGGAAAAAAGTGCAAAAGAAAAAAATTATACAAAATAATGAAAAATCCCATGGTTTTGGGGGGCCAAGAATGTAGGGGGGGAAACATAAATGGTTTCTCTGACAATGCATTACTAGCGTCAGAAACGTCTTTAACCCCTAAGGAGAGTTTTCTACTGGACTGATTGCAACGTGCTGGGTCAGAACGCACCCACAGCTGACCCTGCCCTGGATTTTCAGAGGCGATTTATCAAGCACAGAGGAAGAGATGACCTATCTTTCTCCCGTGGATTCGAACTGTGTGCCTTCAGGAACCACATGCCTTCATGTACCCTCCAAACCCAGAGAAGCTGGGACACGGGAATCCCGACCCAAGCACCCACCTCCCCTGTTCTACTGAACAGCTGATGTCCGTTTCTCCAACTCACGTACAAGGGCGACTGTCAGCCTCAAAGCATTCTCGCTGGCCCCAGGAGACCACCACGTGTCTGAACTACTCTTACCAACAGCTTCCAGGTTTCTCAGAGTCTCCAGCATCACGTCTCTGTAGAGGTCCCTCTGGGTGGTGTCCAGCAGGGCCCATTCCTCCTGGCTGAAGACCACAAACACATCCTCCACAAACATGGGCTCCTGGAACAGGGCAGAGATGTGGCCTCAGCAAGGGACCAACATTCACACTGACACAGCAAGACACCAACGTTGACACTGCCAAGAAGACAGGCGGTGGATCTTCTAGGAGGAGGCGAGACAGGCGTCTTGACGAGGACAAGACTGACTGTGTAATTTTTCTGCTTCTCTTTTCTGCAAAGGGCCCAGGGTCCGAGTATAACACTGGCACGCAGTTGTATGTCCTAGCGATATCCTGTTTGTGGACACCAGTCTGGGGCCTTCACCAGTTCTACCCACTTCCTCACGTCCAGTTGCCCAGAAACCAACCACAAAGCCCAGAAACCAACATCAAAGTGCAAAAACCAACAACTAAATAAATAAAACATGGTAGCTGCATTCGGTGAACACGTCCTGGAACCTCACGGCCTCTTACTCATGACCAACCGTGACCTTGAACCACCGAGAGTGACCAGGTCCACACCAGAGTCCACTGTCAGCTCCCATTTTTTCAACCTTCGACGTTCTCTGTCCAACAGTAATGCATTTGCTCTCAGACACCCGTGGGGTGGGAGGGTGGCAGGTGTTATCCTGTCTTACTAACATCAACAAGGTTTTCAAGATATCTTTTCAGGTGAAGCTATTCATCGTGGAGATCAGAGGGTCACTGTGAGTCTTACTCAACTTGGTGGCATCTCTCCACAACAACCAGCCCTGTAACACCCTGCAATTCTTAATTAACAGCACCTACAACACCCCCATTTCAACTACCAGGCTGCTGGGGCAGTGTTCACAACGGTTGTTCACATGGTTGGGACAAGGTGTAGTCAACTGAACAACATGACTTATGAAAGGATAAGTGTCAAAGCATCTATCTTCATCTATGCAGCTTCATGCTTTCCAAACCTTGAAGAAAGACCTTCTTGCTTGGAAAAAAATAAAACGGGATCAGACAAGCGATAGCACAAAGATAAAAGAGAAAAAAAATTTGTAAAAAGTATCCCAGGAAGAAAAAAAAAAAAATTATATTCTCCGCTGTGTGGGGCCATACCCTGATATTTCCTTATAAAAACAATTCATAGGCGTTGCTAAAAAAAAAATTAAATTGGATGCAAAGCCCAGAGCTGGGTTCCAGGGAGACACACTGTCCTAGGCTGCTTCTCTGCGTTGATGTCAGAGAAACATCCTTATCAGGTAAGGATGTTGAAAACTCAGATAGCGTCTCCAGAGCAGAGAAACCTCACCCTTTTTTATAAGCCAGGAACCCTGGTGAGGCTGGTGTCTGAGCTCCACGTGGAAAATGCCCTTGGTGCACGGGATAGGGGACCCCCCCAACACTTTGGAGGGAGATGAGGACGCATGGACGGTACCCCAACAATTCTAATACAGCCTGTCATTCAGTGGGGAAAGGATCCCGTTCTCTCCAGAACTCACCATCTCTTGGGACCACTTTCTGGAATTCTGCGTGAAGGCTGCAAGAAACCGGGAGAGGGAGAAGCAAAGAGAGAGAGAGGAGAGAGAGAGCAGAGAATGAGCAGAGAGTGAGCAGAGAGAGAGAGCAGAGAGAGGGAGAGAAAAAAGAGAGGCGTGCAAGTGGAGCACAGAGAGGGGGACACTTGTGAAGGAGCTGAGGTCTAGTCTTGGTCCACACGCTGGTCAGAGCGGCTGAATTCCCTCCTGAAGCTGGAAGCCTGTAACTGGAGACTGGGCCGCCGCCGTGCGTGCTGGCCTCGTTGGGACACCTGAAATGGGATGAGGATGGGGAGTAGATGGGCTCCGGTTCCACTGTGGACATCTGGCCTGAACTCACAACAGAGCCAGTGGCCCTGAGCTCACAGCTGCATAATTCATGCAGCGGGCCTCTTCCAGCAGCAGGAAGACGGAGGCAGGAATCCGCTGATCCCAGGAGATACTAGGAAGCCAGGAACCAGGACAGAAACTAGGAACCTGGAAAGAGGGGACCCTCATTTCCCCCTGAGAACAGGGACGGGGTGTAGTCTGAGGTTGTGGGCTCAGCTGGACGACGGTGTCTTTGGCAGATAAACGCAGGCGAGTGGATAGGAACGTGGATTGAGTTCTGCACATACAGTCCTCAGATCTCACTTTAACTTCTGAGCATTGAAAATACTGCAACTGCATTTAGAGGCAGCTGTGCAGGCTTAGTGGTAAGGAGCTGGGCTGCCAACCCAGAGCCAGGGGGTTCAAATCCATCAGACACTGTGGGGAGAAAGATGAGCTACGTCGTCCCACGCCATTTAAGGCTTCTGAAAACCCACTGCACGGTCTGTTAGGAGTTACGTTTCAACTGGAATGGCACATACCCACCACCAAGTGTCTGCAATTATCAAAAACATCCCTCTCGAGATAATAGACCTGAAAGGGAGGTCAGACATTGCCACTTCATCATTTTGGAAAGTGATTTAATTTCCTCAAGACTGCTATTACTCAGAGAAATTAAACTGAATTATTATTATTCATCATTAGAAGGAGAATGGATGCCCTTGAGCTGTGGTGCTGGAGAAGAGTGTTGAGGGTACCATGGACTGCCAGGAAAACAATCAGATTCATCTTGGAGAGGATTAAACCAAGCTACTCTTTGGAGGCAAGGATTCTGGGGCTTCGTCTGACATACTTTGGACATGTTGCCAGGAGGGAC